AGCCACCCTCTGGCCCCAAGTGGTCTAGAGTCTGGTCTGACCCCCAAGTATCTGCACATCCCTCAAGCCTGCCCCCCAGTCCGGGCGTGGTGGCTCATGCCTGTAATCTCAACAGCGGGAGGTTGCGCTGGGAGGATTGCTTGATCCTAGGAGGTCAAAGGTGCAGTGAATTGTGATCAGGTCACTGCACTCCAGCCTGGGCGACAGAGTGAGACCAACTCTGTCTCAGGAAAAAAAAAAAAAAATCTGGCCGGGCACAGTGAGTCACACCTGTAATCTCAGCACTTTAGGAGGCTGAGGTGGGTAGATTACTTCAGGCCGGGAGTTCGAGGCCAGCCTGGCCAACATGGCAAAACCCCGTCTCTACTAAAAATACAAAAGTTGGCCAGGCATGGTGGAGTGCACCTGTAATCCCAGCTACTCGGGAGGCTGAGGCATGAGAATTGTTTGAACCTCAGAGGTGGAGGTTGCAGTGACCTGAGATTGCACCACTGCACTCCAGCCTGGGTGATAGAACGAGACTCCTTCTCAAAAAAAAAAAAAAAGAAAAAAACGAAGTCTACACTCTTTGGGGAAGGGTCTGCACTCAAGAGAAGGCTCCGGAAGGTGGGGGGCAGGGTTCTGACCTCCTTTCCCTTAGGCACAGGGGTCCTGCCCCTCACCCAGCATCACACTGGAGTGGGGCCGTTGGGAACCCCAGCCAGTCCTTGGGGGTCCCCAAACTCTCTGCCCCAGGCACTGGTAGCCATTCTGTTCCCTTGCACTGGCTCTGCAGTCAGGGGACCTGGTTTGGGATTTTCTCTCTGTATTTGAGACTGGGCTCTGCCTTTGGCAGCTGAGCCCCCACAGCTCACAGGTTGCCCCACGTTCCAAAGAACAGGAAATGCTCCTCCGGCCTCCTTAGCTCCTCCCTGGACATCTCCAGGTAACAGTGAGGACAGCAGCTCCTCCCCAACCAATGGGCAAGCTCAGGCTCTGGAACCAGAGCAACTGGGTCTGATCTGGGTGTGACCACTGCCAGGGTGAGCAGCCTCTTTCTGCCTCCATTTTCTCATCTGCAAAATGGGAACAATGAAGGTGCACCCTTTTGGGGTTTGCAGACTAAAGGTGATAAGGAATGGGGGTGTCTTCAACTCTGAATGTAAAGGAAACGTGTTGAGGACAGTCTTGGTGGTACCAGGAGTGCGGGTGATTCCCAGAGTTGCTGTCCCCACCTCCCCCTGGCGTGGCTACACTTGTGTCTGTCTGTGCTGGTTCCGAGCAGCCCAGGGGCTCTCACCTGGCTCGAGGTGGAGGCCCTCAGGTCCCCCTTCCATGTTCTGCCGTTCTTGCTCCAGCTTCTATGAGGAAAAGAGACCGTGATGGAGACACTGGCTCCAGGCAAAGGCCCTGTGTGCTCCAGGAATGACTAAGACGCTTTCCGAGTGAAAAGAACGGTATGTCAGGAATAACCCAGCCCCTCCAGGGCCAACAGGTGGGAGACGAACCCCTCCAAGGATCTTCATGAGCTGCCTCTGTCAGCCTGACCTCTAGCGAATTCATGTGTTCCACCTGCAAGCCTAGGGGCGGATGCTCTGAGTGGCCCCTTCAGGCAGATTTCTGAAGTGCAACCCTGGGAGAGACTGCACTGGTGAGGCCTCCAGGCTTCCCAGTCACTGCATGCCTGGATCATCCCCCACCTGAACCCTGAGCTGAGCAGTTACCTACTGGGTGTGTCCAAGCGTGAGTCCCTCTCATGGCGGCCTGTGGGCCAGGATGCAGGGCTGGCAAAAGGCGGGCAGCAGGTCCCTCGGACAGCAGGAGAGGGAACAATGCAGGCAGGGGGTGCAGAGGAGCCCCCAGGCACTGAGGCCCCCCGGACCAGACCCTCAGAGAATGTTAAGACTGAGTCTCAGGATGGGTCTGCTGGGCTGCCAGCCCCAGGCCCGGCCCTTGGGGGCCTGCATTCTGCACCTGCAGGGCTGTCTTGAAGAGTCCCTCCAATGCCACAGCCTGGGAGTTGTTAAAAAAGGAGCATCCCGGGCTCTGCCTCACCTGTCCCAAGAGCTTCAGCGTCAGTCGGGTCACGTGCTCTGCTGCTGACGAGTCCAGCATGGTGGGAGCTGCAGGAGACGACTGTAGGGGCAGGGGAGGCCGCAGCCCACCTCCCTCCCTGGTTCTGTTACTCGAAGGAAAGAACTGCTTAGCAGGAGCCCAAGCACCAGTGTCACCTGCGGGGCTGTCCTTACCTCCTGGAGACCAGCCTGAGGTAAGAGAAGAGCCCTGTGGGAAGACAGCCACACCCTTCCTGGACTGCAGTGCCCCACAAGCCAGCGCTGGGCGCCGCGTGACAGTTGCCAGGCTGCCGGACACAGGGAGGCCCCAGGTTGCCAGGTTTCTACTGTGCGTCCTCAGGCTACCTGTAAACATTCATCCCCAGGTGTAGCCAGCTGGGCTTCATGGGAAGACAAAAGAAGTGGGCAGTAGCTGAGGCAGAGGGGCAGAGCCCTCAGACCTGGGGGAAGGGGACAGTCGTGACCCCCTGTGCACCACCAGCCTCAGGACCCAGTCCAGAAGAACCTGTGTGTTAGGGGAGGGTGCCCCACCCCTGCGTACTGCCTCCAGGGTGTTAACGGCACCTCCCCTCCTAGAGACCCTCAGAGCAAGCAGGGAAGACAGGGTGGGGAGACTGCCTACCAAGGAGTTCAGGAAATTCCAGGCAGCAGAAGGGGCGGGACAGATGAGGGGTTGTGACCTGCAGAGGGGCAGGGCTTCAGCAGGACCAGTGGGGGTGCTCAGGGGATGCGTCCCACCTTGGAGCTGGGGGCAACCGGGCAGGGAGCCAAGAATGCAGGAAGCTTCGCAGAGGGCGACACAAAACAGAAGCGTGGTCTGCACTTGGTGGGGCGTTAAACTCCACATCGACGAGTTAGTCAATCCCACTAGCAGGCAGACTGACATCTGGGGGATGTCAGCAACAGGGGCCCAGACCTGCGGACCTGAGGGGTGGAGGTTAGCACTTTGCTCAATGTAGCTAACCCAAGAACTTGCCTCAGTGGCCAAAATTGCTCTCTTGCCCTCAATTCTGTAAATGGCCCATGTCCATCAGTATCTATGGTTGTGTGCCTGTCCTGTCTTTCAATCCATATCCATGTGGGGAGCCTGGAGCTGGACCAGTGAGTGATAGGGTGAAGGCTGGTCAGCCCGTAGGAGGTCAGGCTCACAGAGGCAGCTCATGGAGATCCTCGGAGGGGCGCACCTCACACCTGCTGGCCCCGGAGGGGCTGGGTTACTCCTGATGTAGAGTTCAACTCACCTTACCCTGGAGGTCATCCAACCAGAAATGAAGTCAGCATGAAACCTGGCCTTATCCTCCCTCCAGATCTGTGGAGGTTGTGGGCTGGGGTCACATGACCTGCCTGGTGCCACACATTCCCAGATGGCAATCAGAGGTCCTCACTGGTGCTGCTGGACATGAGCAGACTCTGGCCCCATATTTAAGATCCCAGTGCCATGGGGCGTTGGCTCATGCCTGCAATCTCAGTGCTTTGGGAGGCCAAGGCAGAAGGATCACTTGAGCCCACAAGTTGGAGATCAGCCTGCACAATGTAGCAAGACTCCATCTCTGTAAAAAATAAGGGCCCGGCGTGGTGGCTCACGCCTGTAATCCCAGCACTTAGGGAAGCTAAGGCAGGCGGATCACAAGGTCAGGAGTTTGAGACAACCTGGCCAACACGGTGAAACCCCATCTCTACTAAAAATACAAAAAATCAGCCAGGTGTCGTGGTAGGAGCCTGTAATCCCAGCTACTCGGGAGGCTGAGGCAGGAGAATTGCTTGAAATCAGAAGGCGGAGGTTGCAGTGAGCCAAGATCGCGCCACTGCACTCCAGCCTGGGCAACAAGAGCAAAAACTCCGTCTAGAAAAAAAATAAATAAATAAATAAATAAAAGAACCCAGCTCTTATCCACAGTCATTAACAGTGACAGTCTTGGGAGACATTTAAACAGTTTTGAGTGTGCACAGAACAAAAACCAGGTTAATTTAGTTCAGCAACTGTATAGAGCACCCTTGATATAAGTGACCTCATCTGAGAAAAGGACTCCATCTTACAATTTACTTTTTGAGATGGAGTTTCACTCGTTGCCAGGCTGGAGTGCAGTGGTGGTGCCATCTCAGCTCACTGCAACCTCTGCCTCCCGGGTTCAAGTGATTCTCCTGCCTCAGTCTCCCGAGTAGCTGGGACTACAGGCGCACACCACCACCCCTGGTTAATCTTTGTATTTTTGGTAGAGA